CTACAGTCAGCCCTTCACATCCATGGATTCAACCAACTGCAGATGGAAAGCAGTATTTTCTATCTGTGGGTGGGAATGTGAAAAGACTGTTTTCTATCCTCGGATGCAAAACCTGTGTTACAAAGGGCCGACTGTATTTACCGAAAAAAAGGCCACACATAAGCGGACCTGCACAATTCAAACTGGTGTTGTTCAAAGGTCAGTTATACAGGGAAAATGTTAAAATGGGATAAAAAACAGTTTGCCCGTGTTTTAAGTTGTAAATATGCTATTTATTTTGCATCGATAACATTTTCTACTAATTGCGGGTCATTAAAGCCTGATTTTATAGAAAAGGCAATGTCCTTTGATAAACAATTAAGTGGAAAGCACCCCTGTAAAGATGGATATATGATAGCTTAATAATTAAATAGGAAAAAGTGAATGACTTCAGCTCTGAACTATCTGGCCCTGAAAGAATGATATCTTGTTATTGTTTTGTTATTTTTAGAAATACAAAACCAAACCAACTTACTGAGTCTTAGTGGAAAAACACTGTGTGTGACTGCAGGATCAGCTCCCTGTCTGATTGATGGTCCTAGTACTCTTCTCTGTCAGTATATCAATCTACAGCTCCTGAACACAAACCCACAAGGTACGTGTCTCCCCCAGCTGTGAACACCCCCAGCAGGCGGGTTGTGGGGTGCTGGGCATTAAGGTTTCCTTTAATATTCAACCTCTCTGTCTTATGTCGATTTTTCAGGTTGGCATCATCGTAGTGATTTAAGTGCAGAGTCCCACCCTGCTATAGGGGGCACACAAGGGCCTATTTCCCTTGGTGTATTTATGTAGAAACACCCTCATCCATGTGACTTGGTGAGGAAATGGGATAAATTGGTTAGGTAAAGTTACAGCTAAATGAAGCTGAATAGTTTAAATGCCAAGACATTTTAATTTTTAACTTTGTCTTATTTTTTTTTCTTGTTCTTTTGGGGTCCTCATTGTACACGTTTGTTACTGAGGCCTTCAGGCTCCTCATTTGACTATTTACTGAATATCTGTTCCCCAAGCTGCTGGGCTTTTTCTACTAGTTGGTTTTTATTTTTCCCCGTCCCCTTTGCCTCTGTGAGATGTTTCAGGCTGTTCCTGCAAACTGTACAGCTGTCCCACTCCAGTCGTGCTCTTGAACCTACTGCTGGCTTTCCAAGCCTTCAACAGTCACCGCCTCTATTAGAGCTCCAGTACCTAGAGGTGAATGCTCACGTTTTAATCTAGTTTGCTCTTCCTTCTGCAGAGGGTTTAATGGGAACAGTGGGCACTCTCCTCCTTGAAAACCCACTTGGACAGAATGGACTCACCCACCAAGGTCTTCGGAATGAAGCAGCCAAGCTGTTTGGCCTTCGCAGCAGAAAACTAAAGCTGTTTCTGAATGAAACTCAGATGGATGGTGAGGAGATTGTAGAACACGCCAAATTTTTGTTTTGTTTGTTTTTCTTTTGTTGAAAGTAGATTTGAATTGCAGATTATGTGTGTGAGAGGTAGTACTAGTATTATGTCTTTTGTTTGTTTGTTTGTTTTCTCCAGAAGTTAGCCATAATATAATCTTTAAAAATATAATATTTAAAAAGATGATTACTTTTTGCTTTAGAAATAATCTAAAAATTATATTGGTATGTTATTAAAAATACATGTTTCTAGAAAAATTAGCATATTTGCAGATCCTAAGTTGTTCTCTAAGAATCAAAATGATCACACTGTTGTAAAATAACAGCTTGAGGGAAACTTATAACACATTGTACCTTCTCCTTTACAGTTTCTAAAACAGGCTCACATGCATTTTCTCAATGAGTTGCGTAAGAATGTGAAGAGCTAGGTCATCAGTTGACATACTCCCCACCCAATAATTCAGAAAACAGACTCAGGACGGTGGCTTGCACAGGCACAGGCCAGTGTCCGCAAGGACATATTCTCTCTCTCATACCCCCTTTTGCATCATCCACTTCTGTGGTATCAGCTTCTATGCTGTCCTGACAACTTCTCTATTGACATCTGAGCCCTCCCCTCTAAGTTCTGGTCTGTAATCCCTATTACACATCGGGCATGTTCACTTTAATGTTGCTGTCAATGGAATCATTTCCCCAAAGTTTCCAGTGGGATCTATTTTTTCTTTTAATAGCCATCCTTGTCACCCCAACTCAAAACCTTCTACCATTCCATGTTTTTATTTAGACAGCCTTATAGCCTGGGATTTATTGGACTTTCTGAATCAGGATTTGTGTTGTTTTCTAGCACTGGTGGAAAACTGTCAGGCCTTATCTTTTCCAGAGTTACCTCTTACCTTTGATTGTTCTGTAGTTTGAATATGATATGCTTAGGTATAAGGCAGTCTTCATTTCTGTTACACTGTTTTGATTTCTAAAATTTCTTTTATTTCCATTCTTTCAGCTGTAATCCCTTATTATCATACAGGGTTCCATGTGATGTCCTGGTAGGGTGTGGAGGGAGGGGAAGTGGGAAGGTGTCTATAGTTTTCTGACTAGGTCTCAGTCTTCAGTGAGCCTGTGGCTCTGGGCTATTGACCTTCACAGGTGTTTCTCAGCTTTTTAATTTTTTTCTCCTTAGGTGAGAAAGGAAAGCTCTAAGGGGCTAGAGTTGGGTATTCCCCTTCCTCTGGGTCAGTTAGGCTCTGGTTTAAAAAAAAAAATTAAAATAATAAAATGTAATTATTCATAAGGAAGGACTTCTGCCATTTTGCAGGGATTCTTTTCTGAAAGTCTTATACCTTTTTTGTCCCTCATTTCCTTCACTCACAGACACCTTTTGTGTTTAGTTGATTTTTTTGTAGTATACTGTTTTGATTCTCTTCTCACTTCCTTTTGTGTATTTTTTAAGGTATTTTCTTAAGTGTTTACCATGGAGATTACAATTGACATTCTAATTTATAACAGTCTCATTTGAATTAATGCCAATTTAACTTTAATAGCGTATAAAAACTCTGCTCCTATTCACCTCTGCCTGTTTATAGTCTTGTCAGAAATTACATCTTTATATATAAATAGAAATATAAATTCTCAATTGTGTTTTATGTGTTTGTCTATTAAATTATGTACAGAACAAAAACTGGAACTACAAACCGAAAATGCAGTAACCATTCGCATAGCTATGAGTCACTGTCTAGCGTCCTTGCATTTCAACTTGAAGGACTCCCTTTACCATTTTTTGGAGGGCAGGTTTAGTAGTAATGAACTCGCTCAGCTTTTTGTTTCTTTCTTTGGGAGTGTTTTAATTACTCCTTAATTTTTGAAAAATAGTTTTGCCAGATAGAGAATTCTGTGTTGATTGTTTTTTCTTATAGCACTTGAAATATGTTATCCCACTGCCTTCTGGCTTCCATGTTTCTGATTAGAAATAGGCTCTTAATCTTACTGAATATCCCTGTAATATTGCTTCTCTTTTGCTGTTTTCAAGATTTGGCCATTATTTCTTCAAATAGTCTTTCTACCCTTTACCTTCTTATCCTTCTGAAACTCCCATAATGTTGGTCCACTTGACTGGGTGATTTCAGATGTCCTACCTTGAAGCTCACTGATTCTTCTGCCTGCTCAAATATGCTAGTTAGCCCCTCTAGTGAATTTATTTCGGTTATAGTACTTTTCAACTCCAGAATCTCTATTTGGTTCTTTTGTATAGTTTCTCTTCATTGATATTCTTAATTTGCTGATACTTGTTTCCATGGTTTTCTTTAATTCTTTGTCTGTGGCTTCCACTGGTCTGTGGTTTTTCCATGTAAGAGAGTTGCTTTAGAGTGTTTGCAAGTTCAAGTATTTGCACTTCTTCAGGGACAGATTCTATCAATTTATTTTTTCTTGTGAGTGGTCCGTACATCCCTGTTTTCTTTGTATGCCTTGTGATCTGTTGTTGTTGTTGCTGTTGAAAACCGGACATTTGAATACTATACTGTGGTAATCCTGGAAATCAGTTTCTCCTCCCCACCCCCCACCCTCCACCCCCTAGGATTTGCTGGTTTTGATTTTTGAAGGCTGTAATCATTCATTTGTTTTGTGACTTTTCCAAACTATTTTTTGCAAAGACTGTATTCCTGCTTGTCAGTAGTCACTGAAGTCTCTGTTCCTTTCGCTTGTATCCAGCTACTGTTTGACAGAGAAATTTTTGACCGCCAGGAGCTAAAAGTTTAAAAACAAAATACCCACCTCTCCCAATCTGCGGACTGGCTCTTTGCAGGGGCACTCCATCAGCACAGCCAGGCTATTTACAACTCTGCCTCCGCCTTCACGTCCTGTTGGCACTGAGCCTGAGGAGCAGCCAGATTTGGCCAGTAAAGCCTTTACTTTTTTCAGTATTGAAAGCTTTGGGTCTTCTCGGGTCTTTTCTGTACATGCATCCTGGCCTGAGCGATTTTTAATCTCCTAATTGTCCACAGAAACCCTCCTGCTTCCCCCCCCAGGCCTTAAGCAGTCGATGTATGTTTCAGTCATAATCTTTTGCCCACACAGCTGTTAGCTTTTTGTTTGCCTTACAATGTTTTCAAGCAACACCTACCACATTCTGCCCTGAGTGAGTTCTAAGTTAGGCAAAACAGAGACAAGCACCTTATGTAAGCCTTTCAGGTATCCCTCAGGCAGGGTAGAATAGTAACACAGTATTGTCGCTCTGTTCCTCCTGGAACTAGGTGCCAGGGTCCCATGCTGGGAACATGGACTGCTGTCTTTAAGCCCACCGCCAAGCTAGGAGGGAGCTTGACACCCAAGCTGGTATCCCTAGCCTCATTTTCACTGTAATTTTCCTCTGAAAATTATCTTTCATAAAATGTTAATAATTTGGTAAATTAGAAGGATAACATAAGGCTTATAGTTTTAAAAACTCACTGATGCCTTCTTGCTTATTCCACTAGATTCTAAATATCATCTCCAGATCCTGTAGTTATCTATTAAGAAGGCAGCATTGAGAGTATTTTTACAGTCAGGATTCCTACTAGGACAGAACCCATTTCTGGAGAAAGTTGACCCTTTCCTTTGAATTCAGATCTAACTAGAAGCAAAATGCCCCACGGTGGGCAAATAACTTAAAAAAAATTTTTTTTCTCATTCCCTCCTCCTTTTTGAGTTTTCATATATTCAACTGTGTTTGCTTTATACTTTGGATACTCAAATTTTTTATCTTTGGACATATTGGCTCCAATATTCTTTGACATGAGCCCTTCAGTCTTTTGAAAAGATCTTGTTTTCTGGCATCACAGGATGTCCTGGTCTTACCATGTACTCTTCCTTCCCCAGATCTGGAAATGGCTGTTCTTCCTGTTACAGGAAGTTAATATTTGCAAACCATAAATCTGGGCTACTGGCATGGCTTTATGTCTAGGCCTTTGCTGTAAACATAGGAAATATCTGTTTGGTGGTATAGAGCTAGGGGATATGGAGACATCTTGGGCAATACCGAGTTAGTTAGGTTGAGGGCGCAGTCCTCCATAAGTCTGACCAAGACTTCTAACCCCATCTAGAAGAGGTTAGGGTCCAACTACAGCCTCAAAGGGAAGGATCCACACAAGGCCACTGTCACTTCTGGTGCTAACGGCAAATTCGGAGGGTTTTTCAACACCACTGTCAGTTTTGATCATTTGCCAGCAGGTTTCGCAGAACTTAGTGTGAGCTATTGCATTCACAACTACAGTTATTACAGGGGAAGGATAAAATGTAGAACAGGCAAAGGAATAGATATGCAGGGCCAAATCTGAGAAGGGTACAAACACAGAGCTTCAGTTGTCTTCTCCCCAAGGAGTCATGGGCAGTCCAGGAGTCCTGGCCCCAATGCATGTCAGTATGTACAGTGTGTTACCAACCAGAGAAGCTTGCCTGAGCCTTGGCATCCCTTTTGTATTGAGCCCTCATTATGTAGGCATGATTGAGTCATTGCACATGTGATTGATCTTACTCCTACCCTGAATCATATGGTTGGTCTCATCTCATTAGCATTAACTATCAGGTGTGATCAAGGGCCCACTACAAATAACAGAAGACACTACTATCACTCAGGAAATTTCATGGGTTTAGAGGTTTCCCAGGAGCTGGGACAAAGGTCACACCTCTCTAAGGTGAGGCCAAATTCATTGCTACTTGGGCAGTTAATGTTTTTTAAATATTTATCCAGAATTGGTAGAAATTTTTTTTTAACTTTCTTCTATTCCAGAAATTACAGAAGAAATCCCCATGAAGACTTTGAACACGAAGACTGTGTATGTTTCTATATTACCGACAACAGCTGACTTCTAACATTCAGTTATCAGTGTGGTCAGTCAGCCTTTTCCTGGCATGTACCTGTCCCTACACACACACACACACACACACACCCAGTGAAGATATTTCCTTCAGGTGCATGTACAAGTGTAATATGCCAGTTTTGGTCTGAATATGAAATGGGATTGATTCAACAAGTGGCTTGAGACCTCACAGTAATATTCACACTTAACCTAAACTCCTATGCAGTCATGTTTGATGGAGGTTACAACGTCACCTCAGTACTACAGAGTTCATTTCTATACTTGAATTCTTAAGTATAGAAATATAGAAGGTAGAAGTGATTAAATGGCATGCTATATATAATTCTATGGTGTTTTAAAACTTAAATTTGAGACCTCTTGAAGGAATGGACACTGTTATATATATTTCTGCTACCTGGATTTTCCTGGGTAATTTGATGGAATGGTTTGCTTCAGTAAATCAAAACAATAAACATGCTTTCTCTCAGACAATAAATGTGTTAAAAGTAGTTCATTCTCTCATAATTTCATGGAACTTGAAATTCATAATCTTTAAAGAACATAAAAAGTTAATAGTGACTTTCGTATTAAGACAGTGGACTAAAACATCTCATTTTACTTCTTCCCAAAACCCTGTGTGGCAAAGAAGCAGGTGCCAAGACAAAATTAAATGTGCAAGAATTCACTGGGGGAAATATACGTGAGGAGTAATGGGGAGGAGCAAGCATAGAGAGAGGGAGCCGGTAGACTACAATTTAGATCTGGCACCTGGGAAAAGATAAGAGGAAGATTAATTAGAAACAGCCCTAGACTGCAGTGCAACTTGCATAAAATCTTGATCAGGTCAATCAGGAGTTCCCAGGCAAGGATTCCTTTTAGAAAGAGCCCAGAGTTGGGTAGAAATGACCTGTCCTTGTACTGCTGCATTGCTTAATCAGTGGCTTGGAGCAGCCCCAGGCAGGTGTGGTCTCAGCACAGATGCCTCAGTGGATCTGAACGTGTAGTGCCTGGAAGCTGTCAACCAGCTACGCTCCTTGCATCAGGTTCTCCTGAGGGGAAATCTGCATGGTGCATCTCTGGCTGCTACAATAACTATTCAAATCCAAACCCCCAAGGTTGGAAGAAACAAAACAAAATAATAAGTGTTGACGAGGATGCAGAGAAATTCAAACCCCTGTGCACTGTTGGTGGGGATGTAAAATGGTGCAGTCACTGTGGAAAACAGTATGGAGGTTCCTCAAAAAATTAAATATAGAACTACCTTATGACCCAGCAATTCCACTTCTGGGTATATACCCTAAAGCATTGAATGCCGAGTTTTGAAGAGATATTTGCACACTCAGGTTCATTATAGCATTGTTCACAGCAGACAAGTGGTAGAGCAACCCAAATGTCCATTTAGGCATACATGGGTAAAGAAAATGGGGTCTATATATGCAATGGAATATTATTCAGTCTTTAAAAAGAAAGATGAACCTCGAGGACATTATGCTAAGTGAAATAAACCAGGCACAAAATGATAAATAGTGTATGATTCCACTTCCATGAAGTACCTACGGCGTGATCAAACAATACAGTGAATGATTAAATTAAAAAATTTATTACAGTAAAAGACACATTGCCATTAATCCCCCTCAAAATACTCCCCTTTCCTTTGAACACGCTTTTTTCCCTTACCACTTTCTGAACCGGTTCTGGAAGTCCTCTTTCATGAGTGTCTTTCATGAGTTGCGCTGTCATGGCTGCCTCATTGTCCTGAGTCATTTTGACTTTGGGGAAGAGCCAGAAGTCACACGGTGCCAGGTCCGGTGAATGAGGTGGATGAGGACACACCGTAATGTTTTTATTTGACAGAAATTGCCATATACCAGAAGCGATGTGTGACACGGAGCGTAGTCATGATGGAGGATGATTTACGGCACACTTTAAAGCACACCTCTCAACCGTAGCTCACACATGACTGACTGCACCGAACAAGTTGAAACTTGTCACACACTGTTACTAAGGTTCGACGCACCACCTCCCATATTGAAGATCCCTGCCTTCCCATTGGATGGCACTCGGCAGCAGTATTCACTGTATTTTGTGACCACAGCTGAAAGGCTCCGTATCACATCGCTTCTGGTACGTCAATTTCTGTCAAATGAAAACATTAAGGGGCCGGCCGAGTGGCGCGTTGGTTTAGAGCTGCCTTGGGACGCCAGCTCTGAGCAGCAGGGCCCCGGTTCGGATCCCACATGAGGGCCAGTGACACCGCCCTCTACAGCTAAGATGGTGAACGACAGCTCGACCTGGAGCGGGGCTGCCGTGAGTCCACTGGCGATGGCATAGGCTGCAGCCCCTGCTGCAGTGGGCTGCCATAAGCTACCGTGTGTGGCCGGCAGCCAGCGTGAGCGGCCGTCCAGAGGCTGGCGACAGATCTTCCTCACCCGGGAAGAGTGCAATGATAATACCAACATGGGCCAGTGAAGCAACGTCCTCCACAACTAGATCGAAGAACAAAAGAACAGCAACTTGTCTGTTCTCCTTCCCCCGATTCCCCAGCGCTGTTCCCCTCTCTCAATTCCCCAATAAAAAAAAATCTTAAAAGCAAAACAAACCACTGTGGTGTATCCTCATCCACCATATTCACCGGATCTGGCACCATGATACTTCTGGCTCTACCCCAAAGTCAAAATGACCATGAAAGGTAAACTTTTTGAATCAATTCAGGACATCGAGGCAGCCACAACAGCACAGTTAAAGACACTCATGAAAGAGGACTTGCAGAACTTCAGAAAGTGGTAAGAACAATGGGATAAGTGTGTTTGAAGCGAGGGGGCATGTTTTGAGGGGGATTAATGGCAATGTGTCTTTTACTGTAATTTTTTTTATTTAAACATTCACCGTATTGTTTGATCACACCTCGTGGAGTAGTCAAACTCATTGAAACAAAATACATTGGTGGTTGCAAGCAGCTGCAGGGAGGGAGAAATGGGGAGTTGGTAAAATGGAATGGTTTCAGTTTTGCAAGAGAAAAAAGTCCTAGAAGACTTTTGCACAACAATGTAAATACAGTTAACACTACTAAACTCTATCCTTAACAATGATTAAATTGGTAAATTTTATGTAATTTTTATGACAATTTTTAGATTTGTTTTTGTCAAGGACAGAAGCCAACCTGTAACTGCTCCCAGTAGCCAAAGCTGGAACAATTTGAACAAGAAAAAAAATTAGTATTGGACTAAAATCCAAAGTATGGCAGTCCCCCACCCCAGTCTGTGGTTTCATTTTACATGTTTTCAGTTACAGTCTACTGTGGTCCAAAAATATGAAATGAAAAATTCCAGAAATAAATAATTCGTAAGTTTTAAATTGAGTAGTGTGATGAAATCTCAAGCTGTGCCCCCTGTCCTACACAGGACATGAATCATCTCTTTGTCCAGCATATCCATGCTATAGAAGCTCCCTGCCCATTAGTCACTTAGTAGCTATCTCAATTATATCAAGTCACAATATTGCAGTGCTTGCGTACAAGCCACCCTTATTTAATTTTTTTTTTAGATTTTTTATTTTATTTTATTGGAGAACTGGGGAAGGGGAACAGTGTTGGGGAGTTGGGGAGTTGGGGAAGGGGAACAGCCAAGTTGTTCTCCTTCATACTTAGTTGTGGAGGGCTCATCTAGCTCAGCTCCAAGTCCAGTCGCCATCCGGCTGCTCGTTGGCATCTCGCGGCTGCTCAGTTCAAGGTGCCGTGTTCAATTTTAGTTGCGGGTGGGCATAGCCCACCATCCCATGCGGGAGTCAAACCAGCATCCCTGTTGTTAGGAGCACGTGCTCTCACCAGCTGAGTCATTCTGCCACCTGTTGGCAGGTCAGCGGCAACTCAGCTTGGGCGCAGCTCACTGGCCCATGTGGAAATCGAACCGGCGACCCTGTTGCTCAGAGCTTGCACTCAACCAACTGAGCCATTCAGCCAGCCCACCCTTATTTACTTAATAACAGCCCCAAAGCACAAGGGTAGTGATGCTGGCAATTCCCATATGCCAAAAAGAAGCTGTAAAGTGCTTTTTTTTAAGTGAAAAGGTGAAAGCTCGACTTAAGAAAAGAAAAATTGTATGCTGAATTTCGTAAGATCTATAGTAAGAACAAATGTTTCTACTTGTGAAAATTGTGAAGAAAGAAAATAATTTATTCTAGTTTTGCTTTCTCATCTCAAACTGCAAAAGTTAAAACGATGGTGCGTGACAAATGCTGAGTTAAGATGGAAAAGGCATTAAATTCATGGATATAAGACATGAACAGGAAATGTGTTCCAATCAACAGCATTGTGTTGCACCAGAAAGCACAGAACCTACACAAGATCTTACAATTAAGTTTGTGAACTTGCTGCTTACATTGCAGCACTGTACAAACAGCTCGGTAAGGTTTCATAACCTTGTTATATCAGTGTCTCACAGCTGTGTTCATGTTGATGTGTGGCGGTGTCTTGCTGAGTGGCTTTCATTATTGTTGTTGCGTGTTTTTGTGTGTTGTCGTGAGAATGTCTGAGCTACAATTAGAGCAACAAACAAACATTAAATTTCTTGTTAAACTTGGCAAGAGTGAAAGTAAAATCAGGAACATGTTAGTCCAAGTTTGTGAGGATGATGCCGTGAAGAAAATGGCAGTGTACAAATGGATTAAATATTTTTCTAATGGGAGAGAATGCGTCACTGATGACAAGAGGTCAGAGCAGCCAGTAACGAGCAGAACTGCCTAAAACATTGCAAAAATTCGTTGAATTCTGCGTCAAAATTGTCGGCTGACTGTGAGAAGCATAGCAGATCAAGTAAACATCGATAGAAAAACAGGAAAATCTTAACTGAAAATCTTGGCATGAGAAAGTTGTGTGCAAAAATTGTCCCGAAAGAACTCACCAATGGTGCTCGCTTCGGCAGCACGTGTACTAAAATTGGAATGATACAGAGAAGATTAGCATGGCCCCTGCAGAAGGATGACACGCAAATTCGTGAAGCGTTCCATATTTTAAAAAAAAGAAAGAAGAAGAACTCACCAATGAACAAAAGCAAAGGAGAGTCAAAGTTTGCCAAGACCTTTTGGAGAGACAAGACGATGTTTTGGGCCATGTTATCACTGGTGATGAAACATGGGTGTACCAATACGACCCTGAAACAAAGCATCAAAGTGCGCAATGGAAGTCAACCAATTCTCTACAACCAAAAAAGCTCTGTCAGTCCAATTCAAGAGTCAAAATGATGTTGCTAACCATTTTGATATCAGAGGGCATATTCATTATGAATTTGTACCAACTGGACAGTTAACCAAGTTTACTACTTGGAAGTGCTGAAAAGGCTGAGTGAAAAAGCTAGACGACCTGAACTTTTCACCAACAATTCATGGCTCTTGCATCACGACAATGCACCAGCTCACATGGCACTGTCTGTGAGGGAGTTTTTAGCCATAAACAAATAACTGTATTGGAACACCCTCCCTACTCACCTAATCAAGCCCCCAACGACTTCTTTCT